GTGTGCGAGTATTGTCAATGACAATACGGGGAGATATTTCGCCGTCCAATTAATGTTTAGAGATCCAAAATTTGGTGTACGCTTCTCTTCGTTTGAATGTCCTCAAGGATCTCTGCCTAAATTGTGTCCATGTTGATAGATTCTGGCGAAGAAGGAATTCCAAAAGATAAACGATAAAAGAAAAAAGTAGCATCGGGAGGTTTCGATCCTCCGACCTCTGAGTTATGAGCCCAGCGATCTTCCACTGATCTACGATGCTTACGATTCTATTCTCAAATAAGATAATTTATATACGTATTTGCACAGTTGTTACACATTACTTCAAAGTGCGGCAGGGACTCAGGCGGCGCACCCATTAGCCAGCTAGAAGGAAAATCTCCGAAAGAAAGGAGAAGAAAATGCGAACAGTTTTGTGTTCAAATCAAATGGTTGAGTCTCGCTTGTGACTGACGCATTCCAAGTCGCGGTGAAAATAAATTGTGCGATTTACGAACGCGATTCACTCGGCGATAAGAATACATTGCCATTATGAGTGGTTGGCATGTCAGGTGTATTCTGACAGTCACACGCTTTGATGGTCGCGTTTGGCGGGGACATTGCCGCCCAACATATTAACATAACAGCATACGTACAACACACTCCAAGCAATTGTTGGGATCTTTCACGAATGATGAGTCGACACAGTAGCTTGAAGAACAAAACGTCAGTTTTAAAGCGAGAGATGAGTTAACGGTCAGCACGGTATGCTGAACTCTTCACGATGTATAAAGACAGTAGAATGCATAAGGTCATGAGAGTACAGTTGTCGTCGTTTTGGCTTGAGCGGCTGGCATTTGTTGCCTCTTTCACCCTTGTGATTAGAGTTCCTTTTGACGCAAAATGGTATTTAGGCATGCCAGTGGACGTCCACTCCCCATCACCATCAGCAGCGGCATCGAGCATCACAGCACACTATTCGATATCGCTTCAGCAAGAATACAGGACGAATCAATGTTTATGAAGCGTCAGTGAGATGGGATGGTCGTGGCTGAATCTATCGACCCTCAAAGCGCATGTCTACAGAAGTGGATGCATACGATCGAATCTCCTGTCCTCGCATTCACGAGCATACCTTCTAAATCACTGCATCCAATTCTCAGGGTATCAGCAGAGACTCTCGCCACAAGCGCAACGCCACGGGTGCGAAGCGCGCGCACTACCGCAAGAAGAGAAAGTTCGAGTTGGGTCGTCAATCTGCTAACACCAAGATTGGAGCCAAGCGTATCCACTCTGTGCGTGTGCGTGGTGGAAACACCAAGTTCCGTGCCTTGCGTCTTGATGCTGGTGAGAAGGATGTTTTAACGGTCTTGAACACAGTTGTATTGATGCAGCGATTTCACAGGTAACTTTGCTTGGGGATCCGAACACACCACCCGTAAGTGCCGTGTCATCTCCGTCAAGTACAACTCCACCAACAACGAGCTTGTCCGCACGAACACCCTCGTTAAGGGTTGCATTGTCGAAATCGACGCCACCCCCTTCCGTCAGTGGTTCGAGTCCCACTACGCCCTGCCCCTGGGTCGTCGTGGAAAGAAGCCCCATGATGGTCACGAAGAAGGTCTCAACAAACCCCGCTCCAACCATGTTACTCGTAAGGTGAACGAGCGTAAGGAAGGATTCAAGGTTGACCAGGCTCTGGATGACCAGTTTGTGACTGGACGTGTGCTTGCACGTGTGAGCTCCCGCCCTGGACAGAGCGGACGTTGCGATGGGTACATTCTTGAAGGAAAGGAGTTGGAGTTCTACTCCAGGAAGATTCGTTCCAAGGGAAAGTAGAAAAGCTGTGTACAAACTGGTTTTTCGAAGTTTCTCTCTCGATCTATACTTTCATCGTTTGTGAGGGAATAAACAAACATGCCTGCTTACGTGTTGGTGCGAAGGAGGTTGAGGAAACTTATGGGACCTCCATTGGACAGTTTGACATGATGTGGGCTTGTGAGCAATATTGCATCGGGAGCACAATTTTTGCCATTGAGTTGGATCATTCCGAGGGTCACATGCGCTGTCACGTTGACTCTGGCGCCACTTTGAAGGTGGTCCTTTCGTGGATGCCGGTGCAGAGGTGCTTGCGGGGACCTCGGCGGCGACGGACACTCAATCCCTCCCTCTCTCGCTCCTCGCCCACCTCGCCCGCCTCTAGCTCCAGAGAGCGTAAGAGTAAATGCAGTGGCATCAAACGAGTCACAAGACAGAAGAAGCTCACCGTGTGTAAATTTTGGACTCGCCGCGAAAAGCCATTTCAGTGCGCGTGACGTTCACGTGACGGTGCTTGCCCGTCTAATACTTAAACAGACCGCAACGCAGCCGTCCACAACCACAACACTTTGTCTCAGACACCACACAAGCTACAGTCTCTCTATGCACGCCCCAGCCTTCTTCGCTGCCCTCCTCACTCTATGTGCCGTACAGCTTAATGCTGCCCCTCTCGTCGTGCGAGACGCGGCTGTCATCCCTGCCTACGTCCAGCCAGAGGCCGTGCCTATCGCACTCAACTTCTCCTTGGCCGGACTCGTTGGTCGCGACGGTGCCAACATTGACACTGTCTCTGCCGCTGCTGCCGACGCCCTTGCCAAAAGCTTCAAACTGAGCAAGGATGAAATCAAAGTGTCTCACGCGTGAGTCATTAGTCATCTAGTTAATTCCTGTTCTGAATATTCAACAACGCACTTCACAGACATACGTCCACAAACTCCGGCGTCCACCACGTGCACTTTGTCCAAGTTGTCGACGGAATCGAAGTCTCCAACGCCGTTGCCAATGTTAACATCAACGCCGACGGATCTGTGCTGTCCGTGTACTCCAGCTTCATCACTGTTCCTACCACCTCCTTCGTGGCCTCCGACCGCACTTCTGGAATCTCCGCGGACGCTGCCGTGCTCCAGTTTGCGAAAGCCAAAGGTCTTACCTCCAAAAACAAGTTGACTGTCACTCAAGACGGGTCTGCTTACACCGTCAAGGGTGCATCCTTTGTGATTCAAGACATCAAAGCTTCCAAGAAGATGTACCAGAAAGGATCTGACCTTGTTGCGGTCTGGGACTTGAGCGTTGATCTTGGTGACAAATGGTGAACTGCTACTGTTCTTTCTTTTTGAATGACAAACTTGCAGCTACTCACCCTACCCATCTTCCGTGCAGGCAAAACGCTTTTGTCAGCATCAAAACTGGCGAGCTTATCGCCGTCAGCGACTGGACATCGGACTTTTCTGATGCCAACTACTTGGCGGTCCCTCAAAACGAGCAAGCCCCCGTCGCTTCCCGCCTCGTTCAACTCACAAACCCATGGAACTTGAAAGCCTCTCCAAATGGTTGGCACGTGATCAGGGGCCAAGAGAGAAAAGACTTGTACGGAAACAACGTTGCCGCCGCATCGAACCCTAACGGAGGTGCCAGCCAGACCAACTCGCAAGTTCTTGCGCTTTCAAGACCATCCAGCAACTCTTTGACGTTCAACTCCCCTTTAAATGATGGTATTGACGCCATGAACCCAACCAACATCAACGCTGCTGTCACAAACATGTTTGTCGCTACCAACACTGCGCACGACTTGTTTTACAACTACGGCTTCACTGAAGCGGCTGCCAACTTCCAATTTGACAACATGGGCAAAGGCGGTCTTGAAAATGATGGAGTCATTGCAACTTGCCAAGATCGTTTCAACACGGACCCACAAAGCAGAAACAACGCCAACTTTGCCACTCCACCCGACGGTCAAAACGGCCGTATGAGAATGTATGTCTTCGATCTCACCAATCCCGGACGCGATGGCGCCTTTGACAACAGTGTGATCTACCACGAGTTCGGACATGGACTCTCAAACCGTTTGACTGGTGGAGGAAGCAACCCCAACTGCCTTGCCAACACCATGTCAGGTGGTATGGGTGAAGGATGGTCCGATGTGGTGAGTTTCAATTATTTGATCACGTCTTCATTGTCACTCAGTTGGTATCTTTTTTCAGTGGGCTGTTGTGATGACTTTGCCAAACTCGGCCACAAGAGCAACTAACGTAGAAATGGGCAAGTATGTCCTCGGTGGAAGCAAGGGAATCCGCAGATACCCGTACTCCACTAGTCTGACCACGAACCCGCTTAAGTTTTCTAAGTTGGCAACTTTGAATGAAGTGCATGATATTGGTGAAGTCTGGTGCAGTGCCTTATAGTAAGTTTAATTGACCTGTCTCCAATTGAATGACTCTCATACTCACTGGCATCCTTTCCTACTCAGCGAGGTGTTCTGGAACATGGTTGATGTTTCAGGATGGGTGAACCCTGCCGACTTGGTCACAAGCCAGGCTTCAGGAGCTGGAAACGCCGACTTTGTCAGCGTCGTGGTGCAAGGAATGAAGTTGCAGCCATGCAGCCCAAGCTTCTTGCAGGCCCGAGACGCGATCATCCAGGCCGACCAAGCCCTGTACAGAGGAAAATACGCATGTGCCATCTGGAAAGGCTTTGCCAAGCGCGGAATGGGTGTCAACGCAAGAGCCTACACTGACAATGGTGACATCCCCGCTGCCTGCTCAAACCCACCCCCAACTACCTCTGCAACTCTCGCGACCACCTCAAAAGTTATTGTCACCAGTACGGTTGTGACAACAAAGCCACCTGTCTCGTCCACCGTTTCTTCTGTTCCACCAAAGTCAACCACAACTCAAGCTGGTGGTAACACTGTGGCCAACGGTGGAACTTGCACCACTTTTGGTCAATGGGCCTGCTCATACCAGTGTATCTGCAACTATGTGGCCAACAACGCCTTGCAATGGCAATGCAACCCAACATCCGTGACATGCAGCCTTTGAGCGCATGGACGCAAATATTCTTTTCCTCTCTGTTTCTTGGTCTGTTTTCCAATAAAGTACATTGCGCGTTTATAATACTTATTTGAGCCAACTGCTTTGTGATTGATGCCGGGCGCTGGCCGCCGGTAACTCCTTTCTCGTTGTCGGACCGAAACAAAACAAAAAAAGTCCGACAACCCGGGTTCGAACCGGGGACCTCCTGATGACAGTCACCTTTACAGTCAGATGCTCTTCCAACTGAGCTATTATCGGATGAACTCCTCCTAATTTTAATGCAATTATAACAATACAAAATTACCAGTCATATTTAAAGGATCAGTAATAATTTGAGATGGCATGGGACACAACGCTTGGAGGTTCTTATCGCTGCGCAAAGCATGAACGCAGCATTGGTGCAGTGTGGCTGGAAGGGAAGGTCTTGAGGATAACTAATCATGAGGAAATGTGTGCACGAAACAGGAGGTAAACATTTTCGTACGCAATAAAAAAGCAAACAAAGATGGAGGGCATCTTGGATTTCTCGCGTGAGTTCGACGTCCAGCTGCTGGACCGCGTTGTTACGACGCTATATTCGACGACTGGGCCAGAGGTGAGAGAGTGAAAGGGAGGAAGGGAGGGATGGGGAGCGGGTGTCTTGCTTTTGTGCCGAACGCTGACCCACCTTTGTTCTACGCACACTTGCAGCAAGCCGCCGCCGAGAAGATTCTTTCTCAGTTCCAGGCTCATCCTGACTCGTGGAAACAAGTCGATGGGATCTTGGAGAGGTCGCAGATGTTGCAGACAAAGGTTAGTCTTCTTTTCGACATTTCCACATGCATATGTCCGAGACTGGATTCCATCGGAAAGTTTGAATCTTGAGGCATATGTCGAGATGGAGGAAGATACGGGCGAATGGCTCCTTCAGGGGTCGTCGCTGTCGGTGGCTCATTCGTAATCCCACCCCGCCGAATCCCATTCTTTGCTGATATCCACAAGAATATTGCTCATCCTTCTAACATGCACCTTTACCCTCTTGTCTGCCGTATGCAGTTTATTGCACTGACTATTCTCGAAAACCTCGTCAAAACAATGTGGAAGGCACTTCCTGAAGTGCAGCGGCATGGTAAGCACAGCAGCCTTGTGCAAGAAATTGCAGTTAAGCAGTCTAACTCTTCATTGTCTTCTCAGGAATCAAGAACTTCATCGTCGGCATTGTCATTAAAACATCGTCCGATGAAGCATCATTTGACAAACAAAAACTGTATTTGAATAAGTTGAACATGGTCCTGGTCCAGGTTTGTGCGAATTCGTTCATCCGTCATTCCAACCGAGCATTGATGTTGGCGTGCAACGTTGAAATAGATTCTTAAGCAAGAGTGGCCTCACAACTGGCCTGGCTTTATTCCCGAAATTGTCGAAAGCAGTAAAACGAATCTTTCTCTATGCGAGAACAACATGAAGATCCTCAAATTGCTAAGGTGATCATAAGACGTTTATGCCGTTTTTTTTTTCTCACTGTTTTAAAACGCTTCTCCCTCCGCGTCGCAAACAACTGCATCCATTCAGTGAAGAAATTTTCGACTTCTCTGCCGAGCAAATGACGCAGCAAAAAACCAAAAATCTGAAAAACTCAATGTGCGGTCAATTTTCTGAAATCTTCAACCTATGTCAGCAAGTTCTGGACAAGGCCACCAAACAGTCTTTAATCAAAGCAACGCTGGAAACATTACTCCGCTTTCTCAACTGGATCCCTCTTGGGTACATTTTCGAGACAAATATGGTGCATACGCTTTGCACGCGTTTCCTTGAGGTGCCTGAGTTCAAAAATGTGACTCTGAAATGCTTGACGGAAATCGGCGGGCTTCAAGTGGGACCCGAATATAATGCTCAGTTTGGGAATCTGTTCAATATCGTCATGACGAGTGTCAACAAGATGGTTCCCCCACATGCAGGTTTGTCCTTTCACTTATTTCAGCCAGCGTTCGTTGTGCAGATCGTGGTTGTCCTCTATTTTTCTTTTATGGTTTTCTCAAATCGTGGTTGTTAGATTTGGCCATGCTGTATGAAACGGATGACGACGCCGAACAATTCATTCAAAACTTGGCCATCTTCTTCACGAGCTTTTTGGGTGCACACCTCAAGGTATGCGCTTAAAGTTCACGCGCAGTAATTTTTGCTTTTGTTGTTGAACATATGTCCGAAAATTATTTTTTAGGTTGTTGAAGCGACTGGAAACCGCGAAATGCTACTTGCTGCGCACGGATATTTGATTCGAGTGTCTATGGTCCGAGACAGAGAAATCTTCAAAGTTTGTTTGGAGTACTGGAACAAGCTGGTAATTTTCCCCCAACCTTTTTCTACATTGTACCCCATAAACGCATGTGACTAATGTTAAACTTTTGCGTAGGTTTCTGAACTATACGAAGAGGTCCAGCATTTGCCTGGATCGGAACTCCCACTTCTCAACCTTGGTGGATCCCAACGCTTTCATAACCACCCTGCGTTGCGTAAACATATTTATGTTGAAGTGCTGTCTAATCTGCGCGTCGTGATGATTGAGCGCATGGTGAAACCAGAGGAAGTTCTCGTTGTCGAGAATGACGAGGGTGAAATTGTTCGTGAGACCTTGAAGGAAAGCGACACCATTGTTCTTTACAAAAGCATGCGTGAAGTGCTTGTTTACTTGACGCATCTGGATGTGGATGACACTGAGACAATCATGACAGATAAATTGTCGAAGCAGGTACGCGAGCTTTTGCTGTGGATTCCGTTCATTCAGTCTTATGTTATTACCTCATCAGATGGACGGTTCAGAATGGTCATGGGACAATCTGAACAAGCTGGCATGGGCCATTGGATCTATTTCTGGTGCCATGAGTGAAGAAACTGAGAAGCGATTCCTTGTCAACTTCATCAAGTACTTGCTGAGTCTTTGTGAGATGAAGCGCGGCAAAGACAATAAGGCTGTCGTGGCATCCAACATTATGTATATTGTTGGGCAATATCCTCGCTTTTTGAAGGCGCACTGGAAGTTCCTCAAGACAGTCGTCAAGAAGCTGTTTGAATTTATGCATGAGCTGCACGAAGGTTAGTTTCCCACTACCAGTTGCTCTCAGATTCTGATTGGTTTCTTGATCCAGGTGTGCAAGACATGGCGTGCGATACTTTCATGAAGATTTGCCAGAAATGCAAGCGTCAATTTGTCACTCAGCAACCTGGAGAATTGCAACCATTTATTGACGACGAAATTTTGAAACAAATCGACGTTATTACCGCTGACTTGCAGCCACACCACGTATGTTATGTCGTTATTTAACCGCATGTTTTTGTTGTCTGGTCCTCATACTTTGTTTTATAGATCCACTCATTCTACGAGTCAGTCGGCTACATGATTTCGGCTCAACCCAACAAGCAGCTTGCGGAAAGAATGATTCTAGGACTTATGGAACTCCCAAACCAAACATGGGCAAATGTCATTGTCGAGGCCGGACGCAACCCAAATATTCTCAACAGCCCAGACACTGTTAAAATTTTGGGTAACATTATCAAGACGAACGTGGCTGCATGCGTTTCGATTGGAGCACCGTTCATCGTTCAGATTGGAAAAATATACTGGGAGTTGTTGGAGCTGTACAAAGCCGTCAGCGGTCTTATCTCTGAGACTGTAGCTCAGCAAGGTATTTCCGTCTTTCTTTCCTCATGCAATTTCCCATTATTTGGTGACTTACCAACATTCTTTCAAAACAGGTCTCATTGCTACACAAACGCCGCGCGTTCGTGGCATGCGAACCATCAAGAAGGAAATCCTGAAGCTGGTGGATACATTTATTTCCAAGGCGGATGATCTGGCGTCTGTAAATCAAACAATGCTGCCGCCCTTGCTTGATGCTGTTCTTGGCGACTATGCCAGGAATGTGGAACAAGCCCGTGAAGCAGAGGTTTTGAATTTGATGGCCGGCATTATCACTCGCTTCGGGGTGAGTTTGAGGTGTGCTGAAGTGAATCAGCCTTTATCTGACTCTAGCCCAATTTGTTCAGGAAATCATTGTGGACAAAATTCCACCCATCTTAGATGCGGTATTCGAATGCACGTTGAACATGATCAACAAAGATTTCGAAAACTTCCCAGAGCACCGAGCCGGATTCTTTAAAATGGTTGCCGCTATCAACGTCTCCTGCTTTCCTGGTTAGTGTTTTTTCTAATTTACAGCTGAGGGCAAAAATTGTATGCTGACAGCATGTTTCCTGTCGTCATTCAGCATTACTTCAACTATCGTCTCCGACGTTCAAACTATTCTTGGACTCGGTTGTCTGGGGTTTCAAGCACACAATGCGTGACATAAGCGATCTCGGACTGACAATCTGCCTAGATCTCATCAACAACTTTTCAAAGACGGACCCATCCATCGCCAATGCCTTTTTCCAAACATTTTATCTCAGCATTCTGCAGGACATCTTCTTTGTTCTCACCAACACGTTTCACAAGTCTGGATTTAAGCTTCAGAGCGTGATCTTGGCTCAAATGTTTCAAATGGTGGACAACGGCCAGATCTCTGCACCACTCTTCAATCCCGCCACAGTTCCGAACCCGAACATGTCAAATCAAGAGTTTCTGAGGGAACATGTTGTGATGCTGTTGCAGAATGCATTCCCTCACTTGCAACAGTTTAGTTGTTGTTAAACTATCATTTGTATTGAGATATTTGCTGACGCGGGTTTATATATGCAGGAACCAAGTTCGAAATTTCGTGTTGGGTCTGTTTGAGCATAACAAGGATCTTATGGCATTTAAAATGCACCTGCGAGACTTCCTGATTACTCTGAAGGAGTTTTCTGGAGACGACAACAGCGATTTGTACCTGGAAGAAAAGGAAGCTGAGGCAAAAATGAAGCTTGAGTCTGAGCGGGCTGCTGCTCTGAGAATCCCGGGAATGGTAAAAGTGTATGACCGACCCGACGAAGGGATGATGGACTGATGAAGTCGGCATGCGACTATAGGAAGTGTGAATACGTTGCGCGTGATGAGTGTCTGTTTGACCTGGGCACATGTTATGCTTGATTGTCGGTGGTTTATAGTTTTTTAGTTTCTTTTCCCCTTCTGAGTATTGTCGTTTTTGTTGCGGCAAAAATCAATCTTTTATAAAGCAGCAATTTCTTGTTGACACTTATGAAACACTAAAAAACCAGATCCGAAACATGGCCGCGCCCACCACGTCTGTGTCTCACTGCAAAGCTCACACCGTCAAGAGTGCGCTGAGACGACCAAAGACCGT